CACACCCGCTCCGGAGCCGCTCGAGGTGGGGAAGGCTGAGGACGCCGACCCGCTCCGGCGCGGAGCGTCCGCAGGCCTCCGCTGCCCCGGCCGCCCCGGCCGCTCGAGTTTCTTTGTACGACAGTAATCGGTGCAGAGCGACTGTTGCAGTCCAGCCCGATTGGAAGGCGGCAGGTATCTGTTTCAGCTGCAGCGCTCCAACTTCCTCTAATGGCACGCTCAGGTTGCAGGAAACCACAGCGGCTGCTCGGCGGAGCTCCCCACGCCGGCCCTTACTCCGAGCTTGCACTGCAGCGCCTCTGGGGCTCCTCCAAGTCTCAGCCTCACACCGACGAGGAGACAAAGCTGGCGCTGGCGGGGGGGGAAAAATGGCCCGCGAAATCGCCTCAAGATAGTCCCTTTGTTAGAGGAAGGCTTGGATTCGCTCCCAGTGCGACGTAGGCTTTCAACCTCAGCGGTTTCGGTGATGCGGTCGTTGAATTCTGCTGGCCCTAATCATTCAGCCTGGCAGGGTTTCGCTTATTGCGAGAGACACTCTTAAGCATTCTGTCAACACATATGGCACAGAAAGCCTCAACCATAACATTGAGCAGTTTTTGCAGTTATAGCTTTAAATATGTCAACAGACAAGACAGCCTTGTTTTACCCGGAGAAGCAACAAGGAATGTAGTAGATAAGGAGAACACCAACCTCCCCCCACTCTGCTGTGCTTAACCGTGTACAACAATGGTAATTAGCCTCTGGGTCCCTGAAGTCATTGGTTTAGTTCTTCCGTCTGGAGTCCAGAGATAATTTTTTATTGCCAAGTTTGAATAAAGAGCTGTATGGACTGCAGATGGGTTTTGGCTCGCATCCAAAGGACAGAGTTAAAGTCCACCAAAGAATTATTTACCAAGTGAGCTGTATGCTAGTGACACACACTTGAAAGAACCCCAAAGATACTCAAGTCATTCAAGTCATTCTATTAGAATGACTTAACTACTATGTTTTAACGACGTCAGAACCACTGGAATTGACTTAGTTCCTTAGCATAGAGCAAAAGTCGAAGGTTTACTGTCTGTATCAAAGTACTCAGGCATACTCAGTGCAGAATAGAGGTAAATGAACATTAACTGGAAGCTAGGACGGACACTGCAGGCAGGTATGCTAGTAATACCAAGCTGGGCACCTATTTTATGTGAATGTGAAAGTTAGCCAGTGCATAAAAATCTAAAGTTAACGTGTTGTACATGCTACATTTAGTCATCACAAGATAAATTCTGACTCCACTTTCAAAAATTGTTTGGGGCTCTGATGAGAATGCAGTGGCATAGTTCTGACGAAAAAGATTCACTCTCCTAAAGCAGGAGATACTCCTCTCCTACAGAATGGAATATCTCCTGTATCAGTGAGAAACCAGCCATATTCTGGGGTTCCAGTGTTTACGTAGAGACTCAAGTTTATTCAGGACCTCTTTAAGTGTGATACCATAAGTTCAAGTAAACCTAAGCTTGCTCTTCACACCTAAAGAAGTAGGGCCAGAATACATCTCTAAGTCTTGCCACAGTCCTTAACCTTTTTAAATGTAAACTCATACTCAGGACCAATCTGGTTATCATTCAAGCTAGAAAAGGCCCTGTAACTTGGGGCTGGCAGGGGTGTGGTGGTTAAGGACGCTGGATTCCCACATGGCCAGCTATGGTTGGAGTCCTGGACCTGGATGGCCCCTTGCTCACTCGCTTGCTCTGTCCCTCTCAGGTCAAATAAAAAATAATTAAAATTAAATAATTCTCTTAAAAAAAAAAAAAAGTCCCTGTAGCCAAAGATGCCTCTAACTCACTTAAAATTCTACCTTTAGAGTTTTATCCTTCTGAGTAGTTTGCTTCTCTAGTACAAAACCATAATCCTGAGAAAGGTAATTAAAAAAATTTATATTTATTCATTCATTTATTTTAATTTGACCAGAGAGAGAGACAGAGAGAGAGAGAGGGAAAGTGAGAAAGCAAGCCACCAGGTCCAGGACTTGAACCATGGTCAGCCATGTGGGAACGTCCAGTGCCTTAACCACCATGCCACCTGCTATCCCCGAAAAGGTAATGTTTTAAGCCATTAATGAATAGTTCACCAGACTGTTTCCCTAAAGCAGCTTTTGATGGAAGGAAAAAATAGAGGTAACAGATATGATTCTGACTAAATAAGAGAGGACAATATGGTCACGTTCTGTTAAGAGCAATATGTGGAGAGGAATGTAGGCAATAAAAGGGCCCAGCATGCGATTGTTTAATAAGTTCTGCTCACTCATACTGTAAGAATGAGCCCCAAAACACTGGTCTTAAGAGAAGTGAGTATAGACTGTCGATAGCTAGCTATTTATCAAATATTTCTTTATAAAGGACCTTTCCAGGAATTCTGTGACTGACCTCATACAGAAGGATGACATGACAGCTGTATGATCAGGGTATTCAATAATCAGAAATAATGATTCATCATTGTTATTCATTGCTGACAACTTAGTTCTAACTCATACGCAGCACACACACGTCACCAAATCTTCCATTTGTTCTTTTTTACAAGGCATTCTTGTTCTACACTTTACGCATTAGTTTCCTTTGAAAATCCTCCCATAGGACCTTGAACCAAGATGGACTTAATTTTTCAATTAGGATTAAAAGAAGAACTAAACTCCTTCCCCCTTAAGCAAGGCTGCCTAGTTGTAATTCTGTAATGATTAACTGAATTCCAGGACCACCTTAGGGAGTAAGCTAGTAAATGTTTGCTGATAATATAGCTACTTCATCTATTCCATTGTGATTCTCTTAATGATTCTCTGTGAAAGACCAGGAATCTTTGGGATTCCCCTTAACCAATGACTGACTCAGGAGAGGAATTTCTGTCTACTAGAGATAAGCCACTTTATCTGAAGGAAAGCCTCAAGCCTTTATATTTCTTTTCTTTTAAGCTACTAGGTCCAGGACTCGAACTGTGTAGGTGGCGATGTGAGATCCAGCCTCCTTAACCACCACACTACTAGCTGGCCTGGAAAGCCCAAGGTCTTAAGCAGTCCAAGGAATGTAAGCAGAATTCAACAGGAAGAAAAAATATCCCAAGAAAGAGTCTATCCACTATTTTTAAAAAGGATCCCTCTGTTATTTCCCCCATGCCTGCCAAGAAGTTGCATGAAAGCATCAGAGAGACAAAGATAGCAGAGGGCAAGGAAAACCTTGGGATGATCATTTTTCTCTCTCCTTTTCTCAACCCCTAGTTTTAAACATGGTTACCTAAAACCAAAGTTATCAGAGTAGTGTTTGAGAAAAATGAATCTTCAGGCTTCAGGCTGTAGGATTAGATTTAAAAGAATTCTGGAAGCATTAGATTGATTAGGTTAAAATGTGCTATAACATGTATTTTTTTAAAGAATTATTTATCTAATTTTATCATTACTGATTTTTTTTCTAAGAGAGATTTTTTGATATAGGGCGTGTGTGCTCACTGGAGAGACAGATAGAAAGTGAGACATCACCCCCCCCCAGGGGGGATGGCACTCCACAATCCCTTCTCTTCCATTCTGCTCTCAGGATTTTGGGCACACACACGCATATGCATCTGGCATGAGTTTTAAGCCACCAGGTTCGGGACTCAAACTGCATTGA